AGTATCAATGCATTCTCTGGCGACACAACATTAATGAGCCGATACGCGAATATACTCTGAAGACAGTCACTTACGGTCTCGCGTGCGCGCCATTTCTCGCCATCCGCGCTCTTCGTCAACTCACCGATGACGAAGGAGCTCATTAACCGCGAGGCACAGATGCGTTATGACACGACTGCTACGTCGACATCGTAACCGGAACACATTGCAAAGCCGACGCTATCGCTCTACAAATCGAGCTCCGCAACCTCTGCATGGCGGGCGGGTTTTCTCTGCGAAAATGGGCCGCTAACTGCTATGAGCTTCTCCGCGACATTCCGCCCGAACACTGTCTCACCAGAGACTCGCTATCGTGGGAACAAGAGAACCACTCAACTTTTGGATTGCGCAGGTATCCGACTAGTGACGAATTCGTCTTCTCTGTTCTTTCTTGCACCGTCATCACTTTCACCAAGAGAAGCTTGCTGGCGAAAATTGCCCGACTCTTCGACCCGCTCGGATGACTGGCTCCAACAATTCAAGCGAAAATCTTAATCCAGTCTGCCTGGCTGCAGCAGTTAGACTGGGATGCACCGTTGCTGTCAATCATCACTGTGAAATGGAAGCAGCTCTGGGAGGAACTTCCATTTCTCGAGAAGCTCAAAGTCGGCCGCTGACTCGGCACCGGCGACACGAGTTCTCATCTCGAGCTACACTTCGCAGACGCGTCCGAGAGAAGTTACGCCGCTATGGTGTACCTCCGTATCACCTCAAACAATCAAACAACGTCTCGCTTACTAATGGTCAAAAGCAAGGTTGCGCCGATTAAACTTGTATCTCTCCCGCGACTCGAACTCTGCACCGCCGCCTTACTTTCAAGTATGTTCGTGCACACGCGCTCTATGTTAAAATTAACTACAACGCCAGTAACTTTGTGATCAGATTCCAAGGTCACGCTCCATTGGATTCAGGCTCACGCCTCTCATTGGAAAACGTACGTGGCCAATAGAGTATCTCGGATCCAGCAGCAACTTCCTGAGGCTCAATGGCGCCATGTCCCAGGCAAGGACAACCCCGCCGACTGACACCACGCGAGCTCCTCGATCATCCCGTGTGATAGACGAATCCTGCATGGCTATGCGGGAATCCGACGGAATGGCCAAGCGGAGATAAGAAGCCCATCAAGGACATTCCGGAGCAACTAGTCACTACGCTCATCGCAGTCATCAGGAACAACCACGAGCCTGAAGAGCTCAGATTCTCATCATTGCATCGACTCCTGAGAGTAACTTCCTGGTGCTTACGTTGGCGCCGCCGCCGCCGCCCAGATCTGTGAACAAGGAGCACCACTGGTCAGCACTAAACACAGCACTCCTGCAATGGATTCGCACAGTGCAGTTGTTGCATTATCCGGAGGAAATGACCGCAATCACGAATAAACGCTGTCTTCCAAGACTCAGTCACCTGCGAGCCCTCAGCCCATACATGGACGACCACGGAATCCTGCGAGTCGGAGGACGCCTCAAACACGCAGCGCTCTTTCGAGCGGCATCCCTTCATCATGCCTCGAAGGTCATGGCTCACGCGCTTGTTGGTGGAAGCCTACCATCGCCGTACTCTTCATGGAGGGATTCAGTTGACCCTGGGGATGCTTCGACTCCGGTTCTGGATCCCACAAGGCCGAGCTGTAGTCAAGCGATGACTGCACCAGTGCGTGACGTGCAGGGAGGGTTGTCACTCCGCAACCTCAAATGGGAAACCTTCCTCCGGGAAAAGTGACTCCTGCATGGCCATTTCTCAGAGTGGGCATCGACTACTCCGGACCTATTTTCATCAGGACGAGCAAAGGGCATGGTCACAGCGCGAAGCCTTCATTGCTGTTTTTGTCTGTTTTAGCTCCAAAGTAGTTCATCTTGAGGCTGTTTCAGATTATACCGCCGACGCTTTCCTGGCGGCCCTCCGCCGCTTCACATCTCGCCGAGGGCTTTGCACGGACATCTACTCCGACTGCGGCACCAATTTTTCGGAGTCGACAGACAACTTCGAGAGATGCTCCGAGCTTCCTCCTCAGAAGGACGACAAATCGCACACGTCGTCACATCAGAAGGAATCCAGTGGCACTTTACCCTCCTTCGGCACCACACTTTGATGGTCTCTAGGAAGTCAGCCAAGTACCACCTGCGCAGAACCATCGGCGAAACCAGACTCACCTTCGAGGAGATGAGCACCCTGCTCGCACAAGTGGAGGCATGCCTGAACTCCCGGCCCGTGCATGCCCTCTCCGACGACCCTGACACCACTGCTGGCCATCCCCGAGTCATCATTGTCTGAAGAAAGAGAAAATTTAATCTCTAGGTGGCAACTCATCCAGCGGATGCGAGATCACTTTTGGCAGAGATGGTCACGCGATGGTACTTGCATACTCTGGCTACCAGACCGAAATGGACCAAGGAAGCCTTGTCACCACGCATCGCTGTGTATCATCCACTCCGAAATCTCTCCGCCTAACAAGTGGCTACTGGCACGCAGCTACATCCTGAAGACGACGGCGTGGTGCGAGTGGTCACACTCAAAACGACTTCATCCGAATTGATTCGTTCTCTAATCAAATTAATGTTATTGCCAGAGGATGTCAATGCGTTCACCTCGCACGATAATACGTCGAACGAAAAGAGGAGCAGGAATCAATCTTGCATGTCCATGAATTGTTGCTTTAATTTTATTCTGTTATATAACTCTCATTCACGGTTCAAGCTCTTCCACAGATGCACTTATCGTACTGTGCCGCGTGTCTTCTGTAAGCATTCGCTATCAATTATTGTAATCTCGATTCGTTTGTCGCGTCACAAGTACTTAGTACGTGTGCACCAACGTGTTATGTCGTGCACATGAACTCAAATTGAAAGTTCGGGACAGCAGGTATAACGAAATTATCAACCACGTAAATCAAATGTTCGCATTCTCAAAATTTGCATTATTAATCGCTTTCGATCAAACAAGCAATGTCCGAGATCACTTCTATCCGCATATCGTCACGGAGATGATGAGGCGGGCGGGAATGTTTGAGACCGTTAATTAATAAAAAAAGTAATAATTCTTTCGTTCGATTAACAGTAATTGTTGTTAGACGCGTACATGAAATGAGTTTATAAATTCATCTCTAGCATGATCTTAATTCTCGCTAAAGCTACCAATTTGTCGTTTTTTTCATTTCAAATTAATTCGTTACACACAGACAACGGCAACGGATTCGAAGGTTCGAGAACAATTCAATCACGCGCGCGAGCGCAGCGCTCCGTCGAATACGTCACGCGCAGCCACCAATCCCACGCGCGGATTTTCTATCGCGCATGACTGTTACGTCGAACGTTAGAAAAGAATCCGAGGCGCCAATCAATTTTATACAACAAATGCCACACAAAAATTACAATTGTGGCAAAATTTTATTGGATTTTATCAAGAAGAGAGCCCAGGCCACGAAAGCAATATGCACCGATCGTCGCCGATCTCTCTCTCTCTTTCTCTTAGAATTCAGAATCTCGCTATTATATCGTGTCGAAAAACCGCCGTGAAAAAAACCGCCAAGTAAAACCGCTGTAAGGAAGATTCGTTCGAGAACCGCCGAGAAAATCGCCGCGATTTCCTATTACTTCTATTACTAAGATAATTCAGAAAAGGTGATTGTATCGAATATTCTGCAATAATTATTTATGTGTACTGAATTTGTGGTTGTAAAATTTGAAGTAAAATCTTTAGTCCAACTACAAAGAAAAACGGAGTTCTCTTCACTGTCGTGCATTATACCAGGCGTGTGCCGTCCTTTCTCTCACTTTAATCTTTACGCGCGGTGCATTCCCGCACAAGCATTATTAGAATATAATCGAATAAGTACAAAATAAAAAATATATATTTATATGTATATATTTTGCGTATGAGACTAAATAAAAGGAGTTACATAGGAAGCTGCAATGAGAGAAAAGATCGTAGTTTAGGATGCACGTGAGTCGCAATGAGTGGCATAACATTCGAGAGAAAGATGGTAAGTATACGGCAAATATGTATATGAGATAGAGCGCACGGCTGCGGTAGCGGCGGCGGCGCTGATCAATATCTCAACATTTGATAGCCAGATGCACAATAAAGGCAACTGCCTCAGAACTTATTATGTCGATTTTTTCGCGGCAACATTGATTCATTTGTTTGATTCACTTTTGACATTTTATTTTATATACACCGACTGCCATAAATAAATCGCGGGCAGTCTCGTTACAGCGAGAATGCTTTTCAGCGTCAGTCTTGTTCACGTCTTTAGTCTTGTGAAACCATTCGAGCGGGGTCGGGACGAGACCCTCTCGTCTCAGGTGTTGCATCACCTCGAATATATTTTTGAAAAGTTGCCGGCTTCGACAGTTGCATTGCTTATCCGAAGTCCCCGAAGTCCCTTCATTCGTCTCGGCGCGCGGTCATGCGGCGCGGAAGCATCACAACAAGCCGCAAATGTCTAATGTTTGGGGGAGGGGGGCGCCTATTTTCATTTGAATTACATCATCTTTTTAAGAACTCTATTCGTCCGGTTCGAGATGGCCGGTGCCTTGCATTCAATTTACCTTAGTTTATATTTCAAAGATCATCAACGGCCAAGTCCAGCTAGTTCAATTGCGAGGCCAATTAAAGGAGAAAAAGAAGAAGTTGTCTACGTCTTATCTGAGCCCGGATTCATCAGTTGTATTTAAGAGGATATGTGATAAAATGAAATTCAGAGAACTAACTAAATTTGAAAAAAATGATGTGGAAGATATCCTCCTCATGGAGGCTAGCGAAATTGAGGAAGAGAATGTTTCTGCGGCGAAGATGCTCCAACCGAAAAAGAAGAGGAAGTCGAGCATGAACTCGACGAAAGCCGAGTCCCGATTATTAATTTCACATTTTGTACGGATGATGAATTAATCGAGTTTATGTTCAACTTCTTCGATTTAACTGATGAGGAATTATTACACTTTTGTGTAATATACTTTGCTATGATGAGGGCAGAGGCTGAGGAAGAGACAAAGACGGCAGAGATTGTCGCTTGGACCGAAGAGACTGTGGATGGGGGAGATGGATCTGAAGGAGAACGATTAGATGACGGCTATGGAGAAAGTATGTTTGACTTTAACAGGTGTATCGATGTAACATTCGAACGATTAGCTCGACTCATTGATACAGTTGATATCAAGTATACGCGATTCTCCAACATCACATCTGAGAATATTATACGTAGCGACATCTTCAATGGACATCAGCTCGTCGATTGTGAACTATTAGCTTTAGTTTTTAATAAATACGAAAACCAGTGTAATAAGATGTGAATAAAAAATTTTTGTTCGCATTATTATATATGTATTTTCTTTTATTTCCCATCCTTTGCCTCGATGCGCCAGGAAAAACTGTATTGAAAAAACTGTGCCGTAAAAAAATCCCCCTGTGTGGGGAATGGACGTATCAAATAAGCATTTTGCATTTTTACTTCTTTTATTTGCGCAGCATTTTTACATTTTTACTTCTCTACACGCTCTCTCACCCTATCTCCTCCCATCCAACAAATTTCTCGAGAAGATGTCGCTATCACGTATAATGTTCTCAGATGTGATGTTGGAGAATCGCGTATACTTGACATTAACCGTATCAACGAGTCGAGCTAATCGTTCGAACGTTACATTGATACACCTGTTAAAGTCAAACATACGGCGTAGCGTCGTTTCAGTCATCGTAATGCGTATAGATGAAGAATCGAGACGTACGAGCGTAGCATCGTTCAGCATGCAAACACTGACGGTTAGCGATCCAACGCTAAAACTATCCTTGTATTCGTTTCGAAACATCTTGTAAATATTCCATCGCTGCTCGTAGAGGTTCTTCTACGTTTCGAGAGACAGCGATAATTCATGTCCGCGATGATCTCCAAGGGCGACACGTAACTCAGTGAGCCAACGTTGATTACAATTTCCAAAAATTTGTAGCCCATATTCGTCAGATCGTAACGTCTGCTCAGTAAACGCACCGTACGATGCTCCGTATTGTGTACATACATAATGTTAAAAAAAAACGTTTCTTTTATGTATAGAACGCTGAAACTTACATGTTATATTCCTTCTTCACATCGTACGATGCACTGCTCTCTTTAGCGAAGTACATTTTTTCAACCGTTCGTACAAGCGGGTATCGCAAAATCGATTGCATCCGCGTAAATTGTGACGTATATGATAATACTTCTGGAATCGATGAGAGAAGGCAGGTCAACAAAAAATAAGGATCAGGGTCCTATGTTTACGTAATCAATAGCGCTGGGACTTTTCCCCCGCTTTCCCCCATTAAGAGTATCCCCCACTCCCCGCGCTCTCCTTTAGTCCTATTGGTTAGAACCCGCCTTGCTTTACTACTTTCATTGGTTACCGCGCATTTTGTTATGCGACAAGCGTTTCTATGTCTAGTGTGCAGAAAATAAATTAACGGAAATAATAATGATGATCATATAATCTGCAATTGAAACATGTTCCCACATGTGACAGCAGTTCATTACTCAAAAGCCGAAATATTTTTAAATGTCTTTGTAACAATGCTGCAAGATTCTCAAATCTTGCGCCATAATATATGTTATATATTTCAATTCCTCCTACATTGTTACAGCGATATTACAGCGCAATCTGCAATATTGCAACATTTTTGCAATATTACTGCAAGTTTCTGTGTTGTATCGAAAATATCTTATTGATTAATTTTAAAATATTATCACATTTATCAACTTAATAAATAATACTTTTTAATCGAATGTGTTTTACGAAAAAATATGTTTAATGTTATTATAAAATCAGTGTATTATAAAATAAAAGTTTCAACGCGTAATGATTCATAAATAAGCAATTATAAGAAAATTATGACGCCTATTAAGCCTGTGTATTTTTTTATGTAATAAAACTAAATACTGAACTGATAAAGTACAACAATGAATTCTTCTTTAATGAATGGTAATCTTTCTAGGTTATACAAGAGAGATACAAGAATTTGGGTCCCTTAACTTTTCATGAATTTGGAGTTGCCACTTTATTCTTCACATGCGTATTTCTTTGGATATTTCGCAAACCTGGTTTCGTCGTTGGATGGTCAGAAGTGCTTACTGATGTGTTAGTACTTTAAAATTATAAAATATATTATTGTGTATACATTAGTGCTATGCAAGTATTCTAAAAATTAATAAACGTACAGAGATCTCAGAGATTCAGTGCCCGTGATATTCGTCTCCATCCTGATGTTTTTCATCCCAAAGGATCCTAGCTTCATATATAGTTATAGTCAAAATCGTAAGGAATAATAAAAATTTTGTTCAAAATCTCAAAACGCTGATAATAATAATTCTAAGCATTATTAACATAGAATAATTACTAACATAGAAATTTATTTGTTTTAATAAAATAAGCTCAAAAATAAAATTTGTGTAATAAAAGTAAAAGCTTTATTAAAATTTTTATTTTCATTTTATTTATATATCTCCTCATAGAACATAGAAACTGAGTATTGCAATGTAATGATTGCAGAGACGTTGCAAAGATTTTTTTGCAATATTACTTTAATAATGTTGCATTAATATTTCAAATATATTATGAAAAGTAATGTTCTATCGCTCATCCGCGAATAATACGCAGCATCACTACTAAATAGACTCGGGAGAATTCTAGTTCTCGTAAATAAAGATATTATACAAGATGAAATAGAAAGCACAGTCTATAATGAGATTTTTTTCTTACATTCTAACAAAATAGTTTCTTAATATTATAGAATGCCAAAATTAAAGGCTAAAAGTAAATGAGATGTATTTTAACAGTACAATTTTTAGTTCTTTTATGTAAAAATTAATCTAGAAGTATACGTATGATAATCTCAGAAGTTACACAGTGGCAAAACGTCTTAATATAAAATGGCATTTAAAAATTATCAGGAACATCAAAATGTATAATGTAATATAGCTGAAATATTTTGTATTACAATATTTAAAAAAAACGGATATTTTACTACTGCTGCAATGAGCAATACTGCAACAATCTGCAACTTTACAACGTTTTTATAATGTCGCAATCTTACAACGAAATATTTCTGCAATGTCTCTGCAAACTGTCTACAGCACATAGATCAAAGTATGAAATCACAAATTTTTCTTAAGACATTGTTTGCACTTGCATCTATGATTATATTCAAAATTACAAAATTCGCAGCTGCTAAAAGACCAAAAAGATCTTCAGAAGGTTTGATTACGTGGAAGGTAATCGAGACTAAAATGCCATGGAGTCTAATGTTCCTATTGGGTGGCGGTTTCGCAATCTCAAGAGGAAGTGTAGCATCAAGTATGGCAAGACGAGTCGGTGAAGCTCTAGTACCACTCCGTCATTTACCACCCATTGTAATACTTGCTGTTGTGTGCCTCTTCGAAGGTTTTGCAACAGAGTTTACCTCAAATGTGGGAGTGGCGAATATCACTCTACCAGTGATAGCGCAGATGGTAAATTATATTCGTATATATTTAAAAAAAATATGAAGTGTCTCTCTCTCTCTCTCGCTCTTCTCTCTCTCTCTCTCTCTCTCTCTCTCTCTCTCTCTCTCTTTTCTTTACACATCTAATAAGCACTTAAATAATTTAAAAACAGAAAGTTTTTTTGAAAAATTAGTTCCAAACATAAATTATTTATGTAAAAAAAGTAAGAAAATGTAAATCGGACAGGATGGTAAAACTTGAGTATATTATATTAGCAATAATTAATAATTATAAAGGTTTCGACTACAATTTAGATTATTTTCAACATAACAAAGAAATAATAACAAAAAATATTGAACATTAAATTAAGTTTTAATATAATAGAAATATATAATAGAAATATATAAATTTTAATATAATATTAGATGCTTGAATTAATTGTCGCTGTTTTGGTTACAAAATCTCATGTTTATTTCATCAAAGAAGTACCTAATATTTTAATCACAATATTGCCCATCGAAAGCTACAACTTTTTCGGCTAACAAATAGATTCAGCGATAGAAAAATTCAGGTTCTTTTGAAGCGATCCAATCATCGAGCAATTTTTTAATATCTTCGAAATAACTAGAGTGCTGCTCAGAAAGACCATGCCGCATTGACCGAAACAAATGGTAATATGAAGGAGTAATGTCTGGTGAATAGGGCGGGGTAAGACATCCCATTCAAGTGCCTCCAAAATTTCCTTCATTTCTGCAACATGTGATCTAGCGTTGTCATAAAAAAGAATAACTTTGGCATGTCTTTTAGCGTATTGCGGGCGTTTTTCTTTGAGTGGTCGATTCAAATTAAATAATTAATGTCGGTAGCGTTGAGCATTGATGGTTTGACTCGATTGCAGCAGCTCATAGTACATTATACCGACTTGATCCCATCAAATACATAGCATGCATCTACTTTCCATGAATACCCTGTTTTGGTATTGATGTTGATGATTCTTACACTTAGGGTTATTGTAACAAATCCACATTTTTATTGCCAGTCACAATTCAATGCAAAAATGACTTCCGTTTTCGTCTTTGAAGCAGCAATTCACAATGGCTAAATGTTTTGTAATGTCTCTTTCTTTCAATTCATGTTGGACTCAGTTTCCTAGCTTTTGGATCATTCCAATTGCTTTTGAACGTTTGCTAATGGTAGACTTATCGACATTTAATGTTTCCGATAACTCTTTGAGAGTCTGATAATCTTCTTGAAGTAATGCCTCCAATTCTCCATCTTCAAACTTTTTCAGCTGACTAGGCCGTTCTTTGTCATTCATGTCAAAATCGTTGTTTTGGAATCTTCTAAACCAATCTCTGCAAGTTGTTTTAGATAGAGCATGCTCCCCATAAACATCTACTAGTAAACGATGACTTTCAGCAGTAGATTTCTTGAGATTAAAACAGAAAAATAATGCTTCCCGCAAATGCTCTTTTTTTGGTACGAAACCCGACATTTTTAATGCGATAAAAAATTGTGTTCTTTATATCCGATCAAATGTTACATACTGATTATTAAAATCTATTGACTTTTATATATATTAGCAATCTCTTCGGCCATGTTGAAGCACAAATAATGACCTCTCCCTGTTAATAGCGAGAATTAATTCAAGCACCTAATATAAATGAGGCGCTTTGTAAACCCGAAAGTACGTCACAACCATAAAGTCAGAAATAATCATTCTTGAATAAATCTTCAATTGTGTATTATATTGAAATATGTATCAGAGTACATATTTCGGTATTCAGATAAAACTAAAACATTAAATGTATGATAAAATATCTCAGTTTAATTTACAATTCATAAGCTATTCAAAAACTTACATAATAAAAAATTTTTTGAACTTTTACACTAATATTATGACATTTGGAATTTTTCTGTAATTGCTAAAAAATGAATACTTTTTAAGAGTGTCAAAAAGGTTGTTTTGAAAGTTCAAACTTAATTGAAAGAAAACTTAGATGACAAAGAAATTTACACTAAAATGGTGAAATATCTGATTAATAAGTTAACTAATGATGTTCGTGAATTGCTGCTAAGATGGAAGAATAACAATTTTATTAATTCATCAACTTAAAAATTATATTGTAGAGGGTAATTGCCCGAAAGTGTATACATTATACATAATACATTATATAGTACATAAACAGAATTGTCCATTGAGGATAATAATATCGTCTATCGATAATACTTTATATCTTTTGACAACTTTTCTACATGATATCATCTCAAAAAATGTACCCAAATCATTTAGTAACACAGACAACAGTTTCCAATTAGTACAGAAACTGAAAGGGATGGTTCGAAATGGATTACGTAATATTTTAATTTAGACGTTATTCCCTTATTCACAAATATTCCTATTAATTTGGCCGTTGAGAGTATTGAAAATACATAAAATTTTTTCATGAATGTAGTGAACATTCCGAAAGAAAAATTTATATCCGTTATTCAATTAGTGCTTGATTCGACTTATTTTTGCTTCGATAGTAATTTTAATCAGCAAAGTTTTGGTATTCCCATTTCCTTTGGAATCCCTTCTTTCCCCGATTGTGAAGAATTTGATTATAAAGGATTTAGAAGCTAAAGCACTGGAGACCATTGGTATGCATCTTCCGTTTTATTACCGGTATGTTGATGACAGTTCCTAATAACTTACAAGAGACATTTCACAACTGTTCAGCATCAATTTGATTTTCCATGAAATATATTGTTAAACACAAAAATCTAAAAGACACGTATTTTTTTATACATGTACTAACTCATGTTTAAGGGGTAACCCTTTTGAAGAAAAACAGTATTTCTTTTTCGAGATGAATATCGTTGGTAGTATAAAAGAAGGAAAAAAATTTTTTAACAAAAATCATACGATTTAAGAGTAGGTACTTTAAAGTTGTGAAGAAAACAATTTTTTTGTTTACAACAATGTAACACCATACACCATACACACTATCCACAGTTTTTCAAATTTTTCAAATATTTTCTGCAAAATTAAAGATTATTTTTTTCCGAATTTAACCATTTATTAGAAGTATGATTTAACTTTGAGGGTTTTGTAAGACATAACACCTAATGTCAGTGTTGTCGTTGACATTCCAATCGCAGCTATTGTTTCTTAACAAGAGCTTTATTGTTATTCCATGATATTTAATCGTTTACTAACAATAGACGCAAAAACATCGAGTTTATACCATTTAAAAAATGAAGCTTTGTAAAAAGCATTTTCGATATGCGTTGCTTTTGTTTTTTAATCAGAAGAAAACAATAGCTGAAGATCATAGAATTCTAATAGAACTTATGTTGCTCCATCAATTAAAACATGTGAATGTTGGTTCAGATGATTCAAAAGTGATCATTTCATTGTTGATGACAAGGATCGTTCAAAACAATCAAAAAAGCTGAAAAGCAGATTTGCAAGCATTATTGAACGAAAATCCAGCACAATCCACTTCAGAACTTGCCAGAGAATTAAATATGTTGATCGTATAATTAAATTTTAAATGATATGGGTAAGATTCATAAAAAAGGAAAATGGGTTTCACAGTTATCGGAAAATGCCATTACGAACATTATGAACATTTGCATTTCGTTCAATTCAAACAAAAAAAAGAAGAGCTTTTTGTATCAAATTGTTACCGTGGATGAAAAATGGATCTATTTTGATAATTCCAAAAGAATCATTGTTGAACTGGGTTAATCCAAGCTAACCAGCAAGATTTACCTCGCGTAATATTCACGGTTCAAAAGCATTGCTGTGTATTTGATGGAATCAAGAAGGTGTTGTATACTACGAACTATAGGGTGGGCCATCTATTGGTACGTTTTTGAATTTCGTCGTATGGCAACACCGAACGAGCTACAGACCCGAAATTTTGACAGTTTATTAGTCATACCGTCCGCGGCACGAAACAACATGTTTTCTCTTGAAGAGCGTTTTGAAATTTTAAAAACTTATTTTCAAAGTCAGTGCTGTGTCGCCGAAACTGTACGAATTTTGAAAAGAAATATGGAGCACCGAAGGAGCTATACGCAAATTGGTGAGGAAAGTTCGTGAGAAAGGGATGTTAGTGGATGACAGAAGTGGTCCCAGAGCTCGGACAGTGCGCACACCCGAGAATATTGAGGCTGTGGCCCAAAGTGTGAGACAATTCCAGCTTTGAAAAACAATAGTCCAAAATGTCATTAATAATTGGGGTGACCGAATGGCATACTGTAAGGCCAGTAGAGGGAGCCACATGAACGAAATCGTTTTTCATTCTTGACGCGAATACTTTTAGCTTCACAACAACAAAAAAATTAATAAAAAATATCAATGTATGCTCATTTGATCGCATTTTTAAAAACGTACCAATAGATGGCCCACCCTGTATTTAATCGAAAAGAAATTATCACCGCTGATCGCTATCAATAACATTTATATAAATTGAAGCAAGCATTAGACCAAAAACAATCTCCAGTTGCAAGTAAACACAAAGTGATCCTTCTTCATGACAATGTTCGATCTCATGTTGCATTGTCAGTGAAGCAAATGTTATTAGAGCTGAAATAGGAAGTCTACCGCATCCTGCGTTCTTCAGACATTATTCCATCTGATTTTCACTTGTTGCGGTCGATGCAATATGTTCTGGAGGATACGCATTTTCATAATTTTGAAGATTTGCGAAAATTTATTGAAAATTGGATCAATTTCGAAGAAGAACTTTTTTATTACTGTGGAATCAATCTTTTGCCAGAAAAATGGGAAAAAGTTATACAAAATAAAGGAAAATATTGATCAAGATTATCTTGTTTAAATAAATCAGTTTTTGAGAAAAAAATCTCAAAATTAAATCGTACTCTTAATATTATTCGAATCAAATTATATTTATGTTTAACTCTTATAAAAATTTAACTCTTATAGGCATTCATTTTTTGATTTATATACAGGGTTGGCCATATTCGACGGAAAGACCTTGAACCCTATTAAATGATTTTTAAAATGAACAGCA